ATGGGGCTTTACGGAGCTCAACGGCTCTGAATGGCTCTAGCCCAAGCTGTGATATTGTTACGGGGCTGACGAGACGTGCGAATCCATGTGCAAAGCTTTATTCTGGAGACGTGGTCAGAAACGGGCATAAATCAAACATTGGCAAACAGGTATGTAAGAGACAAGGCATGGGGAGTCACAGTGAGGGTCAATCGACGACGAACATAATCCAATAGAGCGAGACTAGAGAGCTAATCCAGGTACAAAGCAAAGGTCCAGGCAGGGTCAAACAGTATACGAACAGGGCAAGACGAGAGAGGTAATCCAAAGTGCACAGGCAAAGATCAGAACACGAGTAAACCGACTAGGCTAAGACTATAACACTTCAAGTAGGCTCCGTAACGTAGCTATCACGACTAGCGATATGCGCATACAATACTCGGCGGTTTGAAAGGGATCTGAGTGAGTGTTATATAGTGAATGTGTGATTGGTTACAGCTGTGTGCAATCAGTGCTGTGTGCAATCAGTGTAATGGATGATGGGATATGTAGTCCGGGATGACATGCAACAGTTTGTGTAGTGCGAGAGTCAATGTAATGGAAGGGTGACCTCTCGTGGTAAGTGAATTGAAGTTCATAGACCGAACTCGTGACAGATATAAACGAACGCTATTGGCTATTTTAAAAAGGGGCGGGGCTGCTTAATATGTCCCGCCCTGTCTTCCTGTTTCAGTTAAAATGACGTCAACACAGAGTATCGCTGCGTGTTTCTAAGCATTTCAGGGGACCTTTAAGCATTCTGTAAAGTATGCTAAACTAAGTAAAAATTAATACAGTCTGTATTGGTCGATTTATCAAACTAGCCCAAATATTTAATAAACAAAGAGTCAAAGGACAAGAAAGTGTAAGCTTTGGAGTTGAGCGTGTGGGCCTGTTCATGTGGTCCTGCCACAGTATTGGGGAAGCTTTTGCAGTGTCCGAGGAATTGAGGGTTTTGTACGCTCTTGCATCATGGTTTTCCCCTGCATTGAGATATTGGTCATTTTAGCAGATGTTTTCTCATCCACAAGCAACTGACAGTATCCTAATAAGAGGACAGACCCCATGGAGTAAGCTGAGGTTTAATGTCTTGCTCGGGGCACAGTGGTGATTGACGAGCTCAATAACTCTGCATGATTATGGCAAAAATCATAATACTTGATTTTTCCCCTTGACATTGCAATTATGATTCAGTCATTTGGATTAATTGACATTAACAGCAGCATGTCATATTTTTATGTAGCTTCACTTCCAAAACAAACTGAGAACTGTATTCCTGAATTAATTGTGTTCTGTTTTTAAACATCAGCAAATCTAGACAATAACTTAATGGTCACCATCACATTGGCCCTTTGAGTGGCATGAAAAACAGAACTGTTATTTAAATTTTGAATAAATTGAAAGAGCAAAGAAATGTCACTGTTCTAGAATGTTCTGATTAGAACAGGGGTCGGGAACCTTTTTTGACCAAAGAGCCAATTTTTAATTTTTGGTTAATGCATTTTTCCAAAAGAGACAATATATATATATACAGTGGGTACGGAAAGTATTCAGACCCCCTTAAATTTTTCACTCTTTGTTATATTGCAGCCATTTGCTAAAATCATTTAAGTTAATTTTTTTTCCTCATTAATGTACACACAGCACCCCATATTGACAGAAAAACACAGAATTGTTGACATTTTTGCAGATTTATTAAAAAAGAAAAACTGAAATATCACATGGTCCTAAGTATTCAGACCCTTTGCTCAGTATTTAGTAGAAGCACCCTTTTGATCGAATACAGCCATGAGTCTTTTTGGGAAAGAGGCAACTAGTATATGTTTCAGTCCTGTCATTTTTACATACTTTTACACTTTTTCTGCTGTTCAAAAAAATTGTTATTTTCACTATAACCACAAACAAGCTAACATTACAAATCTGAGTGCAGGAGCTCTACATTACCATAGACACATCAGTGGTTTGCTGTCATGACTCTCGCGAGCAGCACTGAACGCGCACTTTGGCCAGTACAACATTTTTTATCAGCTTATGTGTTCTCTACAACAAAGGAATTGCTGATCTCTAGTGATGTATAGTTTTTGTAATAGATCATTTGTTGGTAAAGGGTGAGAGATCCTGCGAGCCACATGATATTTGTCAAAGAGCCAGCTGTGGCTCGCAAGCCATAGGTTCCCGACCACTGGGTTAGACTGATGTCTGCTTCACCAGTGCTGTTGCATTGTAGCACACACTATCCATGTGCAGCCCGATTTTTCTGCCCGTGTGCAGTGTTTCCCATACATTGATTTATTTGTGGCAGCCTGCCACAATATCAGAACTGACCGCCACAAATAGATTTTCCAAAATGCTTTGACTTTGCGGCGTGGGTGTTTTTATATGAATGTATCTTTGAAGGGCACCAACTGTCTTTAGATAAGTTTCAATGTCATTTTCATTTAATCTTTCCTATAATGCCTGAAAAAGCAGCGTTTATGAGCGGAGTGCTGCTTTGATTACAGCCGTTACCGGGGAAACCGCTATTTCTGCCGCTCCTAAAGCACCTCCTGCTGGCAGAGTATGAATGTGCATTTTCAATAATCCCGTTTACTGTTTTATATATAGCCTATATTTCACCCGGGGTATATAAAATATAAAAACTCTTAAAAAACTTACTTACAGGCTGTGAGTCAGAACAGCCGGCATTGTAGTCTACTCTCCCAGGATCAGGAAACAGTCCTCCATAAAATGTGCTGCACACATCTGAATATTTGGGTTGAAGTGTTCTGGAACAGTGTTGTAAATACAACTTAACCACTGATTTCTAGTCGTGTCCATTTTTGGAAGGCCAAACAAAGTAGTTTCGCTTTCACAACGAAACAGCGTC